TTTTTTTTCCTAGGGCCACGTGTTCCGGACCCCGCGCATCAATTCCGTTTTTCCGAAAAGCGAGGGAGCGGCCCATTTTCGCGTTTTACGCGAATTCAACGGGATTTTTTGGAGTTTCACGGGATTCAACGGGAGTTTAATTCCCCCGTTCTGCGTTAAAAAGATACACAGGTGGCGGCTGGTTCGCAGTCCTTCAACTAGCGCAGGCATGTTCTCCAGTCCGCGAATGTCGTATTCAACAAAAAAATTGTGGAAAATTTTTATCATGGTTTCAACTTACATACAAGTTGGAACCAACGTATGAAGAGGGTGAAATGGTGTGGCCAGTCGTTTAGACGGGCCAGATGCATGTTTCCAACCGTTTGCCAACATGAGGCCGATATGTTTTCAACATGTGATCAACATATTTTCAACATGTTTCCAAAACTTCTTGCACTTAAATTTTTGTTTGAAGTCCCCTGCAAGGGAGTTTAGGGAGTTTACAAGTGTGTATAAATGTCGTTGCAAACGGCGCCTATTGGTGGCAGGGTGACCCTCAGTAGTGAGCCTTGATGTTTTCCGAGTCCGCGGCATTCGTTCTTCGATCGGGAAAATGGTGTGTGATAGAGACAAGCGATATGCGGTGATAAGCTGTGTTCGATGTTGTGGACCTGTAGGGCGATATAAAAAAATGGTCCGAGATTAAGAGACCTGAAAAAAAAAAAAAAAAAAAAAAAAAATCTAATACATCGTTCCGATGAAAAAAATAAAAATAAACAAATGAATAGCGTTAGACATGCGTTGGACGCGATGATGACGGGTTACGTCAGTCTGGGATCTCATTTTCAGCCCATCATTGTTGTGCATTTCATGAGAGTGCATCTCTTCACCAACGGTTCCAATTACTGCGAGCACATTTCTGAGGACAGTGCGATGAAATTCCTATAATTTGGATTTTATAATTTGCTCCCCCCGCCAACCCCCAACCCCCCCCTCCTCCTCCAGGTATTTTACAAATGGGGCAATGCGATGATGAACCGTAGTCGACATGATTCTTGGTACTTTGTTTGGTGGTCGGCATAACAACTTCCCCCCTTTGCTCGGTGACAGGATGTACGGTCTTGGTGTCTTGCGGTGACTTGTCGTCACCAGTTTTTTTGTAATGCTGTATTAAGAAGAGCGATCAAGCGTGAATCGTGGTCCACGACCCAGAGGAAAAAAAACGAGCGATGATATGGTGGTCATATCGAGGCTTCATTTTTTTCTTAACCTGCAAGAATCTTTTCTCAGTTTTTTTGTCCAATACCTTTTTTTTTGTTGTCGAGCCCATAACTCAATTTTTGTCCCTCTCCTGCCACGATCCGCCGTATACAAGCACCACCTTTTTTTTTTTAGGTCCGGGGGTCACTAGGGTGCCTCTCCATTTGACCTTCCATTTTTGTTCGTGTTTCGACTTATGGTGTCATTGACCAGTTTTGTTTGTCCGGTATAGCACAAGTTATTTTTTTCCAAGGCCTCCACTTCCTTGACCTACGCCGAGCCTCTTTTTTTTTCCCCCCGCAACTCCCTTTTCTCAGTTTTAGTGTTCGAGGCCTTGTTTTTTTGTTTTGCACGAAGCAGCATTCGTTCTTCGATCGCGAAAATGGTGTGTGATAGACACAAGCGACATGCGGTGATAAGTTGTGTTCGATGTTGTGGACCTGTAGGGCGAAACAAAAACATGATTCGAGATTGAGAGACCCGAAAAAAAAAAAAAAAAAAAAAAAATTGATACGTCGTTCCGATGAAAAAAAAAACAAAAACAAATAAATAGCGTTTGACAAGCGTAGGGCGCGATGATGACGGGTTACGTCAGTCTGGGGATCTCATTTTCAACCCGTTATTGTTGTGCATTTCATGAGAGTGCATCCCTTCACCAACGGTTCCAATTACTGTGTGCACATTTATGAGGACAGTGCGATAAAATTCCTGCAATTTGGATTTTATAATTTTCCCCCCCCGCCAACACTCCCCCCTTCCCCGAGTATTTTACAAATGGGGCAGTGCGATGATGAACCATGGTTGACATGATTTTTGATACTTTGTTAGGTGGTCGGCATGACAACTTCCCCCCTTTGCTCGTTGACAGGATGTACGGTCCCACGTATCTCGCGGTGGCTTGTCGTCACCAGTTTTTCTGGAACGCCGTGTTGCGAAGAGCGATCAAGCGTGAATCGAGGTCCACGACTCAAAAAACGAAACGAGCGATGATATGGTGGTCACATCGAGGCTTCGTTTTTTTCTTATCCCGCAAGAATCTTTTCTCAGTTTTTTGTCCGATACCTTATTTTTTTTTGTCGAGCCCT